ACAATTTCTGTGGCGCTCCTTCCACTAGCCATGCCAACCACGGCTCTCTCCAAGCTTCATTTCCATAAAGTGCATGATTTGTGATAGTCTTCCACTGATCATAAACACCACCACCATCTCGCCCGCCGCCATTGCAGTTTTCTTGAAACTTTGCAATGATTTTATCCCACAAAACCTTCCTATTTTGATTTGTGCCAACTGCACCATCTTCGTTAACAGAAACCCATGCGAAGCATAAAGCAACATCTTCCTCACAGGTCCAATTACGACCTCTAATATGCTCTCTTGCCATGTTGAACAATTTGGAAATGGAAAGAAATGGTAGAAAGATAAATTGGAAGAATTTGTAGGAGAAAATTGAGTTTTGTGTGGATGTTTGAACAAATACATAGGTATTTATAGAGTTTTTGGGTGAATTTTGAGTTAAATAATTCTTTTTTTAAGTATTTAGCCGTTGGATTTAAATTTGGGCCGTTAGATCTTTTTTTTTTACCATTAGATTTGATTATATTCGATCTCAGCCGTTGGATTCAATAATATATAAATATAAAAACAAAAAAAATTGAATCTAGGCCGTTGGATTAACCAACGACCTGATGATCACGACCGTTGGATGGAAGGAGCCGTTGGGCTCATGCGGAACGTGGCCGACAGGCCCACGTGGGTAGGTCCCTGGCAGTCAGAAGCCTCGCGTGTTAGGCGCGTTGGGTGATTCAGTGGGTTGAGTTTGGGGCCCAAATGCTGAGATGCAATCCCTTTGGTGGGGCCCACACTGACTTTTGGGCTAAAATTTTGGGCAGAATCTGGCCTTAGTTCCATATTTAGCTTTTAGCCCAAAGTTTCTCCTTAGGTTGGATTTGGTTTGGGGGGAAATTTAGCATTTAGCCCTCCATTGGAGATGGTATAATAGTTGTAATTTCACCTAGGATGAATACCACGTCTTAGGGGTTGCATGGTTTTTCAAAGGGTTTTCACAAAGCGTAATGAGTCATGCATGTTTATATTCAATCTGAATACCACGGATAGATTGCATGTTTGATATACGTTCTAACTTGAATACCACGAGTAGAATATGCATTAGGAAAACCTAACCTTCAAAGTTGCATAGGTAATTCATAAGTAATTAGTAAAATTGCATAGGATTGTTAAGGGGACGACGGAACCCTAGGCTTTTACACTTTGGTTTTCAAAACTATTTTCTTTTGTTTTCTTTACTTTGTCAATTTATTTAATTGTTTTTAATTAAATTCTTTTTTAATATTTTAGGTCATTAAATCAAGTTCTTCTAAACTTTGTTTTCAAATAGTTAATTAAGAATTAGTTTAAATACAAATTATTCATTCAATTCCTACGGAAAACGACCTCACTTAAGCTGTTATACTACAACAACCTTGTACTCTAGCAAGTATTTTTATACCTACTTTTGCAGGTGGTAAAAATACCTATCATTAGACATTCGTCACATAAACAAGAAAAATTCGTCACATTTGACTATATGTGACGAAATTCTAGCGTCACCAATTTCATCACCTATAGTTCATGTGACGAATTTTATTTTCGCCACATTTTTTCAGTATACGTGACACAATATTCGTCACTTAATAACAATATGTGTGACAAATTATACATCACAAATTAACCATACGTGTGATGAATTATACGTCACTTAATAACGATATGTGTGACGAATTATACATCACAAAATACAAAATTATGTGACCTATTTTTTTTTTTTTTTTGTCTTGTATCAGGTTTATAAGTGATGATTTTGTAGTCACCCAATATGATACCAGTTGATATAGTTTACACTAAGTAGCACTGAAAAGGTCACATATTCCTTTGATATGTGGTGCAACAACTTACATCACACATGTTTAAATCAAATACTTTTTTAGAAATAATAACGACGAACTAATTGTTTTTCTTGTTTCGTAACCTAGAATTGCAGTTCTTAACAATTATAAGGTAATACTTCACATGTTCATTAATCAACAATTAAAACACATAAATCGAATACATTCACCAAATGTACAACCCAAAAATTAAAGTCATGGTGACCTATCTAAAAAAAGAAGTTTAAAACAGCTTGAGGTGCCTAGCAAAAGATAGCTTGAGATGCCTAACAAATGACAGCTTGAGGTGCCAACAAAAGAGATGTCTAAGCTAGAATAACCAAGAATAGTAACACCTATATATAGACATCTTGGGTACTAACAAATGACAAGTCCAAGGCACATTCAGGTGCTAATTAACAAAAGAGGTGCTCCATGTGCTAACAAAAAAGGTGTGCATACTTGAAACTAACCGCAAAAGACACAATATGGACATCATTCCTCTTTCAAATCATGTTCTTCCAGCTCAGGATAAGTATTTTCACCCTTTGAAATATCACCATTAGATTCTGTAGAGTTGTGTCTTTTCCTGACTTGCAGTAAAAAATGCCTTGATTTTTGTGAACAGATTTTCATCATCATTACGTAAATCCAATCGACCTCTTAATTGTTCATTCTTTTGTTGCAATTTGAGGAAACCATTTGACAAAATTTTGATTTGAGATCTCATATCAGTTAACTTGGAACTTGATGCCATAGAAGAAATGCAACCAGAGGTATTCGTACTAGGAAAAACACCTACACCATTAACTGATTTTCCCTTCCTCCCAAGGTTTTCAGCCATGATTCCAAATTGATCATCCAATGGCATATGTACGAAATCTGATGGTGTACCTTTAGGTGCTTCTTGAATCAGCTTCTCCCTCATTTCATCATTCTTTTTCTTCATGTTATCCTTTCATAATTAAATAGAAACAATTCAGTTTCTTTCATTCCAAACATTTCAGCTATAATATGTTTAAGAAAATACAACTTGACCACTTGTATGTTATCTTTATCTGATGCAGAAGTAAATCACCATGCAAAACCTATATGTAAACATTATTTGTAATTTTTATTTGACTATGGATTAAATTGGACTAGCCATATACAATGTTTTTCTCAACAAGTAACAGAAGGAAATTTAGCATAAGATATATTGGTGGGACAAACAGGTAGTATCGTGTCAATTTTGCATGTTCACTTCAACAGTGTTTCTTAAGTTGTATCTTGTCAATTGTAAATTTTTTATCTCTAGTGCATTTGAAATGACAGAAAATGAGCGGCCTATGAATGACTTACATATTTGTCTCGAGCAAAATCATTGATCCACTGGCCGTTCTTATCTTTGTGAAAAGCACCCTAATTGTCAATCACTGATAATGAATCTTCTTTCTGCTTAATAATGAAGATACAAACGTGAGAGTGCATAATGAGTATTATAAGTACTTTAGTTTCATTACCTTGTTAGTTGTCCTAGCATGATGAATGGCCTTGCACCTTCCTTATGGTGATACTTCAGTTTCTTCCTATTACTAGCATTTTGCTTTGAAAGCTCCTACATTACACAAGTGGTACATGACAAGTAAAAGAAGAGTTAGTATTGTAAAGGTGTACAATTTGGGAAGCTCCTACCTCCTAGACTTATAAATATTCATATATTTGAGTTGTACATATTTGTTCAAATGCTTAGCATCTTCTCCAATCAATTAGAATCTAATTTTCATAAACACTATATCCAATGAGTTTTACTCTCGTTCTCTTGTAGCCGTTCTCAAATTTTACCAACTTGAAATGTAGAACTAAAAACAATGAATAGCCTAATAAATGCAAACAAGCTCTGCATTCGATTATGCCTAATACTAGTAAAATACATGTAAAAGCTTGTGAAGAAGCATAACTTATTTATCAATATAATATATGTACAAGGTCTTCATTATATATATATTAATGCCAACAAATACACGTAAAAGTTAATATATGCTTATATATTAACTTTTAATAAATAAAAAAAAGAAGCACCGTTCTATGCTTATTCCATTTATTACAAAATCAACTTGTGATAAAAAATTGTTGTTCAACAATATAAGAAAAAGTTGGCATCTAACTTGGACATATATTAGAAAATGATGTATAGAATGCATACCAAAAAGTGGGTATTAGTGTAAACATTATCGCATAGCTAGTCCCAGTGACTCTTAGGTTTCCCATTCCATATTCGATCATTTGGCAGATTAGCTCGTCCTCTTGCAGGTGTTCCACATGACAAGTAGTACTTATACAACCAGTGCCTAAACACAGAGTACAACTTTGCCATCTTCTTATCAACATATTTTATTATCTTTGGATGAGATAAGTCCACCACAAATACTACCTATTATCAAGCATAAATATATAAAAGTGAGTGCTTGAAATTATTATGAATAAACTAAATTAAAATCAAACTCACAAGTAGCTTATTCCGCATTGTCCTTTTTTCTGAAGGTGGGACCTTCATCCATTTCTTGTAGCAAACTGGTGAGTAAGTCCGAACAATATTCCCTATCTCGGTAATAAAAAAACCTGATACTACCAGATCACTTGGAATTTGAAAAAAAATATGACTGACATCTTCTTCCCATTATTTGCCTCCAAAATATCGTGGAGGCCTTTCCCACATGACTTTCCACGTTTCATCTTTTTTGGCATTAAAGTTAAAATCTGTCTCTAAAAATTTTAAAAAGAATATATGCATTTGATTAATTTTATAACTTGTTTAAAACAGCATTAAAAGATTAACTCTTAAATATAAACGTTGGAATGATTGTAAATAGCCTTTCTCAAATACCTAAGTTCATGTCTGCTGGCTCTTCTGGTGAAGAAGCAGGTGGTGGTGGCGGAGGCGGAGGTGGGGCATCCCTCACCCCTTTCACCCTCTTTCCTCGTTGAGTAGGAGTTGTCATCTAATAAACTAAAAAAAAAGAAAAAGAAAAGAAGTAACAAACTAACATCATAGATAAATCATTATAACAATATAACTAATAAACATTAATTTGTTATAAATAAAATGACTATTAGTAAAAATATAAGCAAATAGACCATTAGAGAATATAAATATTGATTTATAATGTACATATCTCACCATAATCATCAATCACTATCTGTGTCACAAGTTGCAACCTCTTCTTCCTCCTCCTCCTCCTCCTCCTCTTCCCCCTCCCCCTCATTCTCTAGCCCTAACATTCTTTGCACCTCTTTGTCATTAGCATCAAAAAATTCAGAATCAACATCATCTCTAGATAATTCAATATTAACTTCATCATCCTCGTTCGGGATTGGTCTCATGAAAATTTCATTTTCATCTACATAATCATCATCGTCTTCATCATTATCATGGTCCACACTATCATCATCTTTCTCAGGGACATCCCAAACGTGCCTATGTTGAATCTTTTGCACAACTTTCTAAGGATGGCCCAACTTTAAGTCATCAATGTAAAATTCTTGATGTGATTGTCTAGCTAGCACATATGGATCACTACCATACCATTAATTATTTACATTGACTGATGTAAGATGATAATCTTGAATAAATTTTTTTCCTCTGGTATCTGTATTGTACCAATGACATTTGAAAAGAATCACCTTATAACCTCTTATAAATTGAACTTTAATGACGTTAATTAATCTGCCATAAAAGTTACATGGTTCTCCATTGTGTGACCCTGGCGTCATTACCTCACTATTCTATGTTTTTACGATTTTGATTAACTTGTGCCACCAAATAACGAATGTCGTTCACAATAAAACCTGTGTATTGGACAGTACGTCGATCCGGATCTTGGGCTAGTGAAAAAAATTTCTCCACTCACCAATCTATGTTCTTGATAATACAATGACGTGGCATGCTACCTAAACCATTAAGGAAACAACTGTTTATGTATCAGTTGTACATTGATATGATTATCACTTTCCAAAATCTGGATATGCTCACTGCATACATAAAAAAAAATATAAGTTAAAGTTGTAGAATTATAAATATTTCAATATATGTAAAACCATTACTATCACATACATCTTGAAGTCTTCTATTTCTTCACAATTGTCTAAGATATACCAATATGCCACTTCTATATCTTCCCTCGAAAGTTCAACCAATACATGAGCTCCAAATAGACATGTCTTTTGTGCAAACACTGAAAGCAACACATTGGGATCTCCACCGTCATCGTTTCTTTATGGTCGAGTGAATTTTGTCTCAACATCACACAAATACATTGAGCAAACAGTTGAAGACTCATATGCCAAGTGTGCTTCCACAATAGAGCCTTAAGGGTGAGCTTTGTTACGTACAGATTTCTTGTACGAGCCCAACAATCTAGTAAATAAACAATTATCAGTATGAAGAAAGACACACTTAATGCAATTAAAGTAAACTTGATGGCATTTTACCTTTCTACATGATACATCGATCGGTATCCAACTAGTCCTGCCAATTTTGCTTCACGGGTAAGTGCACTGTTAAGTGAACCATGGGAACAAAGAATGTAGACGGGAAGATTTTCTCAAGTTTGCACAATATGAGGATAATGTATTCTTCCAACTTGTCAAGATCAGAAACAATCAGTGTCTTTGCACATATTTGTTGGAAGAATCTTGACAGCTCAACAAGTGGACCATATATCTGTTTTTTTCAAATGTTTTCTAACTCCCACTGGAAGCACACGCTGCATCAACACATGACAATCATGGCTCTTCAAACCTAACACCTTCCCTTTATCCACACTCACTTTATGGGATATTTGCTGTATAACCATCTGGAAATTTAATTGATTTCAACCAGTGCAAGAAATCTTTACTCTCAGATGGCTTGAATACATACTGAGCCAAAGGCTTATCCAATATATTACTTGCATTTAGTTTCAAATGCAAACTTTCCCTGATATTCATGTCTTGTAAATCCATCCTCACCTTGAGGGTATCATTTGACTTCCTCGTATTCAGCAATGTCCTGATCAAATAATCAAATATATATTATTCTCAATATGCATAATGTCAAGATTATGCCTAATCTTTAATTTGGACCAGTATTCCAACTTGAAAAAAAAAAATACTTTTCCTTGTCCAATTTAATTCTTTAGCATTCTGCTTTTTTCTTCCTATTTTTATTGCTATCATGTTTACCAAACTTACGGGGTACAAGGTAATCAAATTGATCCAGTATATCATCGCTTGAGAATTCTCGTGGACGATGTCTCATATCCCGGCGACCATTAAACAGTTGAGTATTTTTGCGTCATGAATGATTCATACGTAAATAGCAACAATGTCCAATATAACAATACTTACTTCTCAACTTGGTGTATGATCCATCCTCATTACACACCTAACATGCCAACTTACCATGAGTGCTTAAACCTGATAAATTTTCATAAGCAAGAAAATCATTAATGGTCCACATAACAGCTCCACGTAAATTGAATGTACTCCCAGTCATCTTATCATGAGTTTGAAAGCCATTTTCCCACAATTCCTTAAGCTCGTTAACTAATGGAGGCAAAATACACATCAATCTCATTTCCAGGTGCTTTTGGTCCAGTAATTAACAAGGTTAAAAAAGAGAATGGTTTTTTCATGCATTTCCAATGGGGCAAATTATATGGAAATATAACAATTGGCCACATATTGTATGGCCTACTTATATTTGAAAATGGAGTAAACCCGTCACTTGGAAGGCCCAATTTGACATTTCGTGGGTCTTGAGCAAAATCAGGGTACATTTAGTTAAATTCTTTCCATGTGATAGAGTCTGCTAGATATCTTATTATGTTCGGATCATTAACTCTTTCATCCTCGTGTCACCTCATGTCTTCACTCGTTTGTCTCGACATGAACAACCTTTGTAGCATGGGTTTAAGTGGAAAATATTGTAACACTTTTCTTGGAACCTTTTTTCTTTGCTCATAATGCCTATCTTTATACCTTGGTTCATTACAAACTGGACATCTATCTTTCTTTTCATATTCTTTATAGAACAATACACAATCATAATGGCAGGCATGTATATTCTCACACCCCAATCCAAGACTTTTCAATATCTTCTTGCACTCACGAAATGATTCGGGAACACTGTTTAGTTTGGGACACATCTTCTTCATCATTGCTAGCATCTTAGCAATGGCCTTGTTTGTCATGTGATTATCAACTTTGTTGTGAATTAGCTCCACAACATAAGACAAACTGTATATTGATTGCATCCAGGGTATGGTTCCTTTTAAGCTTCATGAAGCAACATATCATAAGTATCAACATTGACCCTAAGAACATTGGTCATATCTCCGCCCCACATGGTATCTTGGACCCCCATTGTATCTTGATCATCATCATCATCATCATCATTCATTCATTCTTCCAAATGCAGCATCCATCATATTAAACATGTTGACATTAGAATTATTGATCAGCTCGTTGTTCGTAGACATCAAAGACTCTCCTTACACTTGATTAATATGCTCACGATGATTTATCCATATATATCATAATTCATATCCATACCAAAATTCAATAAATGGAGATGAACATCTTCAACTGAGTGAAAAAATCTATTATGACAAACTCTACAAGGACATAGTATTTGATTATTCTGGTTCACATGGTGACAAGCAGCGTCAATGAATGCTTGGACCCCTTCTTTATACTTGG